AGAGAGAGAGAGAGAGCACCTGGTACGTGGACAATGGGACCATTGCCAAGGTCCCATGATAACGAGGCGTGATAGAAGGGCACTCACTGCATCGGTCGCAGCGAATTTCCTCAGGAAGAAACGATCAGTTTCAACGGCACTCACCCCGACCGACCGAGAGMCCGAGCGACCGACCGATCGATCTACCGAACGACCGATTGATTGACGACCGAACGACCGATTGAGTGACGCAATGGGAGGAGAGGGCCAACCACACATGAAGGAACGGGAAAAAGAACACAGGAACAGCACACAGAAACGAAGCCAGATGCAGCCGCAGAACCCATCTCATTCCTCCTCCTCTGCCTCGTTGTCCTGAATGTTGAAGTACTTCAACTCGTAGACATTCCTGTCCTTGTTCGAGGCAATAACCCTAAGCCAGTCCCGCACATTGTGCTTCTTCAGATATTTCTTCGTCAAATACTTCAAGTACCTCTTGGACATCAAGCTCTCCGAAGTGACGTTGATCTTCGACTTCTCCCACGAGATGATGATTTGATTGCCCAGAACTCCAGTCTTCCCGCCAACCTTTATTCTATCCTCTAGGTATTTCTCAAACGAGGCAATCTCCATGATCGCATCTTCGACAGGCTTGTTGCAATCAATGGTGAAAGTCACCGTCTTCTTCTTGGGGCCCTTGGGCCCCGCGGGCGCCTTCTTCGTCGCCGCCGCCGGCATGACGACTGCTCTGTCAAGCACAGACCAACACGATGACCTCACGACACACACAGACTATGGCGGACGGAAATCCTTCCTTCTTGGCTGAGGATATCCCTGCCAGCTTGATTCCCAGCGATGATTACTGTAGCCTCCAGAGGTGATGAAGTACGGAGAGAACCTCTTCGCCCTGTGCCAGGCGCCAGATACCTGCTGCTGAGAACCTAGTTTCTCCTTCTTTATGTTGCCATTTGTTGCTCCTGTGTTCCTCCGTTCGGGTTGCCGGTTGACCGCTGTAAGCTTCCGTGTCCTGGGTCCACCGTTCGTGAAGGCTGCTTGTGGCAGATCCGCTTGCCATTTTGCTTCTACTGTTGCCCCCTGATCCATTTATTGATCCTTCCCCCTTCACTCATTCCAGTCCGAAACAGTGCCTATCAACCAAAGACAGAGGGGGGGGAGGGAATGGGTCGGGGAATTCAGAAGGGGGACGCAATTGGATTGAGGGGACGACTTCTGTCCAGTTGTTAAAGATGATCTTCTAGTCTCTTTTAAGCCGCTCCTGAGTCCCCTCGCTCCCCTGAGTCCCCTCCCCTACCCATTCCACCCTTGGAAGCTGGTCTGTCTTTTTCCTCTTTGTTTTTCGTTTTTTTCTTTCTTGTGAATTTTTCTTCGACATGGGGTCTTGTGGTGTGCGCTGGCCCCTTTTTTGGGCTTGACCGATGATGTCTTGCCCTTATACTGGACCACGGAATTTTTGTGAGGGACGCCAGGCCCCGTTTCCTGCATTTTATTTATTTAAAAACAAAGCAAAAAAAAAAAAAGCAAAGAACGAAAAGAGAAGTTAAAAGTCAGACTGAACAAATGATGTCTGTTCTGTGGGAGTTAGAGGAGGGGCCTTATCCACACTGGGAACATCTCCTTGACTGGAAGACGGCGGATGAGGTCATGCACCAATGCTATGAGCTCTGTGAAGAGGGGGATAAATTGTCTGCTGAGTTGGCAACGTGACCAGCTAGAGAGGCTAATGAACGAGCATTGACAGCACGGCCAACACGACCGTCGGTATCAACAACACACACAACAGTTGCATCAGCGCCGGGGGATATGACGAAGACAACAACAACAAATACAGCGAATATGACATCAACAACAACGATAATTTCTTCAATTACATCAACAGCGCTCATGACGATGACAGCTGCATCATTGCCAATCATTCTGACAACAACAACAACAGTGCTCCTAACGATGACCTCTGACATACAACTTCAAGCAATAACTATCTTGTTCACACCGATTGTTATGACTGACATGCCACCAATACCTCTCGATGCGACAGCCACTATGGTGAGTCCTACTCGGTCTCTTCCAATCTGCTCTTTGTGGGATGCTGTGCACGGGAGAATGATGACCTGGCGATGTGCTCAAGGGGTGGCATGATGACGAGCTGTTTCCGTGGGACTCAGGGGGAGGAAGACAGGCTGTTATGAGAGCGGTTTGGGAGGCGGGGTGCCTGTGATTTCCTTGCTTGTTCTTTCTCCTCCTCCCCTTCCGGTATGTTGATTGCTCGGTTTCTGATTTCTTCCTCTCTTGATATGCCTTGTGTTCTTTCCAATTCATTGGTCCTCCTAATTGATTGATCATATTCACTTAGGGTTTTGAATGAGACCTGGGATGTGCTCGAGGGGTGGCATGATGACGAGCTGTTTCCGTGGGACTCAGGGGGAGGAAGACAGGCTGTTATGAGGGCGGTTTGGAAGGCGGAGTGCCTGTGATTTCCTTGCTTGTTCTTTCTCCTCCTCCCCTTCGGGTATGTTGATTGCTCGGTTTCTGATTTCTTCCTCTCTTGATATGCCTTGTGTTCTTTCCAATTCATTGGTCCTCTTAACTGATTGATCATATTCACTTAGGGTTTTCCACTTCTTTGCCCTGCTATAATTCCCCCCATAAATTTTGCTTTGTAGGGTTTCACCATCGGAAGGTCACTATAGTAGGGCGGAATTTGATTGTCCATAGAGGCTGAGTTAATCCTTCCTTTCTGGGGAAGCAATCAATGTTCATCACGCAATCTTCATTCTAGCTGTACAGGGAAGCTGTCTCTATGGGAGCAGTGGCCGAGGCTCTTCCAGCCCTAATGGGAAGAGGCGTGTGTCTGCGTTGTATCCAAGTTGTTAATATGAGCCTTGGGCACTGGGCCCCTGCGTTTAAAAAAAAAAAAAAAACTTGGTAGAAGGCAGAGTATGGATTGTTTTATTTTTTTATTTTTTTATTATTCTATTTTTTTTTATTAAATCCCCCGCCAGTGTTAGTGCTGCTGATAAGAGCAGACACCACTAACACTTGGGGAGGGACTCCATCTATTGGTGGGGAGCATCACCTGCTGGAAATTGGGCCCAGCATCCCTTTTTACGAAAGAATGTCTGCAAATGTCTGAGAGTGTGTTGTAGTCCATTTTGAGATTGGAGATCCACCATTGCCTTCCGTATCTCTTCACCCACAGCCGAAGGGCGCCAGATAAGTCGTGGAAAACTGATACCATTCAAGGGCTGCTGCTCACTCCACACCCTGGTGTATGTTGCCAGTTGCTCAGGTAACCCATTGACTTCTCCACTGAGAAGGCAGAAAAATATAGGATGAGCGGGGTCCTCCCCAGGGGGATCCAGGGAGGATTGTGAAGGCAGAGTATGGATCTCTTTTTTTTTTTTTTTTTTGGAACCAGGCTCCAATCTATTCCTGGGGGGCAGCACGTGCTGGGAACCGGGCCCAGCATCCCATATGAAAGTTGACATAGAACTTTGAAAGAATTTTGAAAGTTTTAAGATCCCGTATGGATCTCAGTTGGGACTAAAGGTAAAGAGATTTTTACAGATGGTCATTATGCATCTAGCTTCAAAGTGAAACCTTACTTATTCGGATGGGAGGGCGTGGATAAACCAGGAACCTTCACGCCAATGAGCCACTGCAATACTAAGGTGGGGAGAACACCCCTTTTTTTTTTGAGGGGGGGGGGGGGGGGGGGGGGAACAAGACTCCGATCTATAGGTGGGGAGCAGCGCGTGCTGGGAACCGGGCCCAGCGTCCCATATGAAAGTTGACATAGAATTCTGAAAGTTGAGATACCATAGAATTTTGAAAAGTTGAGGTACCGGGGCCATTACCCGGCTTTGGCTAAGGTGGGGAGAACACCTCAGTTGAATAAAGTCACCAAAACTCCGCTGGCAACAGCAACCAAAGGTGGAGAGATTTCCCGGCAGATCCTATCACGGAGGCTAATCTGCGAAAGCGTTGGACGCAAGTACAGAAGCTCCCTGACCAGAAGGCGGCCAGTCCGCTTTGGCTTCAGTCAATGCAGTCTGTCCCCTCAGCGTTTTGTCTATCTACAAGGGGTATGAACATTGCACCATCCTGCCCGCGATGCACTTGGGCCTGGGAGACCACCTCCCACCTTTGGATTGACTGCCCAGCCTCCCTTCTGATTTGGCAGTGGTGGGGGAAGCTCTGGTCCAAGCTGGGAGGTTCTGGTTTTCCATGGTCAGATTCTTGGATTCGCAGGGGGATGTCCTCTTAACTTTTCTCAAAAAAGATCGTTGTCGAAGCGTAAATGTTCTTATGGGACACTGGACCCAGTTTCCAGCACGTGCTGCTCCCCACGAATAGATTGGAGAATTTGTCCCAAAAAAAAAAAAGGGGATTCGCTCTGGGTGCAGTAATATCCCAACGTCGTATGAGTCTGGATGGGGCTACATAGCCCAGGTTTGCAGGGGGGGGTTATAATGCGGGTGATTTGGCACGCGCGAAATCAAAAGCTCTTTTTCGAGATGAACTCCCACACTCTGAGGAACAAAAGTGGGCAATCAGAACACAGATACGGCTGATCATCTTGGCGGACTGGGAGCGGAAAGGCCCAATATGGTTTTCAACGCACATGTGCTGCAGATGGTCAGTTGGCGATGGCAACCATTTAGCAGGATGGGAAATTGATGATTTGCCCCTGGGCCCTGGCTACTCCCTCACCTTAGAGGGTAAGTCACTCCATGATGACGAGCGACTGACAGGCCACCCTTCAGCAGATGGTTTTACTCTGCCAGATTAGGCAGACCCTGGGGCCAAGTCCCACTAGATGGTGTTCTTCATTTCCGGCCATCGATCTGTATATTCCCGCCACAATCAGCGGTCAAGAATGAAGAACACACGCCAGTGGGACCTGGCCCCTGGTAACTTGTAGGTGATTAGGGAGACAAGGTCTTGTAGGCTACTTTACTTTAGGGCGATTATGAATTGGAGTTGGATTTTGGGCTTTGTGGTTCTCAGGGGGGGTCCTTCCTCCGTCGGAAAAGGATCATTTAGATAGGTTCAATTAGTGGGCTTCAAGTTCACTTTGGAAGCATTGTTTTTTAAGGAAGGTATGGGACGGTGGACCCTGTTTCCATCATAAGGCTGATGCCGGGTAATGGCCTCAGATACTTCCGGTTTGTTTGTTGAGGATTCTTTTTTTTTTTGTTGTTGTTGAGGATTCCCGGCCTCTCCTTCCATCTATAACACATGGATACAATTCTTCAAAAAAAAAAAAAAATCACGTACGGGCAGACATGGCGCATTAGTGCTGCGGTAACGCAGCAGCGCTAACTCGTCGCTTACAATGGCAACAGGGCAGCGCGGGATCGCACAGCGGGGTCAACGAGTGCTTGGCTTCACACGCCAGAACTTGCTGGTGGCGTGGCAGGGGCGACACGTGGTGTAGGGCGCGAGGGCGCAGGTGGGGTATATGCCTTGCAGGGGCAATACCAAGCCCCTGGCTATGGCCGATCTCGGTCGGTATTTGCCAGGAATCCTGTTCAGTTGACAAATGGAGGGAGTCTGAAGTGGGGATAACTGACGAGCGAGATCCTGGTCACCGCTTCATACCTAATTGCAACCGATCAGGGGTTTCATCCCCTGGTTTTAGATACGGAGCCTTGACTGGCGGAAGACGTCACCATGAGAGTCGCGACATGAGGAGCATTGGAGCTGATAGGTGCCGGTTCTAGTTGCTGAGCATGACGACAGTCTGAGATCGTTTGATCAAGCTTTCTCCCGATTGCCGGCGTACCTACGCCGACGGATGGACTCTCTACTGTGGTGATAACTTCCTTCATTCTACAGATTTGATGGCCAATTAGTAGTAAAGCTCTGTTGGTTTACTCGGTAATTCGTGGCTGGTTTGAGGAGTCTTTTTGTTTTCTTTAGTGGTTATTTGTGTGGTTAGGGCTTCGCTTTGGTTCGGTGCATATATGGTTGCGGTTTGGTTGGGCGCATATATGATTGGGGTTTGGTTGGGTGCATATATGATTGGGGTTTGAATTTCGTTGGGCGTTTGTGTTAATATAAGTTAGTCGCGCGCGCGCGAGAGAGAGAGAGAGAGTTGACAAACCGGGGGATTCGCAATTGTGTTTCGCTGTCGCTGGTTTACTAGGTAATTAATGGCTGTTTTGAGGAGTGTTTTCATTAGTGGTTATTTGCGTGGTTAGGGTTTCGCTTTGGTTTGCGGCCAGGGCCTCCATTATGATAGCCCTG